CCCCCCCCCCCCCCCCAAATTCAAATCCTGTCCCTGAATTAGGGCAAACTGGGGCACGATGGAGTGTTTCATGCATAGCAGAATTTTTTTTTCTCTTTTTTTAATAAGAATTTTATTTTCAGTCCAACAGCCAGAAAAATGCATAGTGCTTTTAGTTCTGACAACTAGAAACCTTATTAAATTTTATGGCTGGTATCAGTCAGGTTTTTCAAGTAGTACTAAGCATATGGAAAAGAACACCATGTTTGCTGCCTAGATGACCTCTTCTGGGAGTCAGTTGCATTTGTTATTCACAGAGCACTTATTAATTAGGCTGTGCTGATCCTAAACTTGCCATTGGGATGAAAAATATCAGGATTAGGGACACTAGAAATAAGAAGGGGAAAAAAAAAAAAGAATTAAAGGCTAATCATCTAAACGCAAATTCTCAGTTCCATTTGCTTGCATGTTTCTTGCAGCCTTCAGTGGTTCCTAAAGCCATAATATATTAGTATTAAAACTTGACGTCACAATCAGTAAAATTTACTCATTTATCACAATTTATGATTTTCATTTCTAGTTTGGTAGCTTAGTAATGCTGAATTAATACGTCTCCCTTATTAATTTCCTGTGTTAAAACTCACTTGAATTTAAGGTACATGACCATATGGGCCAGTCTAAGAAGGTGACATTTTCAAATATTCAACTGTACTATTACTTAAATACTGAATATGCGAGAATACACTTGTCATTTATTTTCAGGCAGTTTTGTATATGAAATACAATTTAATATTTCCTAGGATGATCCAGAGAAAACTGAGGCAACAATACGTGGGAATTTTTACGTCACTGGAGACAGGGGGATTATGGATGAAGATGGATACTTCTGGTTTGTTGGAAGAGCTGATGATGTCATCAATTCTGCTGGGTAATTTAAAGCTGATAAACAAGACGTCATTGAATTTGACTAATACTGGTGATTCAGCCACGACATTGTGTTATGAAACATAACTAACCCCCCCCCCCTTTCCTCCATTTCAAAGATATCGTATTGGACCATTTGAAGTAGAAAGTGCCCTAATAGAGCATCCTGCAGTGATGGAAGCAGCAGTTGTTAGCAGTCCAGACCCCATCAGAGGAGAGGTAAACAAGTTAAACATGCTTATCCTCTTATATATAGCTTTGTGCATGCCAGAACTAATAAAGCCCAACTCCCAATGGATTTGTCTACCTATTGGTTGAATTTTTAAACTAAATTTAAATCAGCGTTTGCATCCTATAAGACACTGGAGAGCCCACACAGGAGCAAAACCGACCAAGATAATTGCCCCATAGCCTGTATGACAAAAGCACCCTATGACGATTTTCCTGTCACTAAAATACTTGCAGTCCTTGGTATGTACTGAGCATGCCTCCGCAGTCCAGACAAATACAGAGCACACACAGACTTTGAAAAAGCCATCTGCTCTATACATTAGTTATTCTGCAGTTTGTCAGCAGATGTTTTGTGTAAAATTCAGATCTTGCTGTTGTGTTATATTATTTCATTGGCATTTAAACCCCGCGCCCTTGTTTTTTTTAAGGTAGTGAAAGCCTTTGTTGTTTTAACATCTGACTATGTTTCACGCGATCCAGAAAAATTGATGAATGAGCTACAGGACCATGTTAAGAAAGTTACTGCTCCATACAAGTATCCTAGGAAGGTGAGTGCTGAAACTCACAACTATTTTAAGTAATTAATCTTCACCATAAGAGAGTTGGCATTAACTACAATATGACTCACAAATATATGCCACTGAGGTTACGAAAAAGTCAAACTCTAGGTAAATGATATCTTATTTTTTATTGCAATTTCCTCCCTTTCCCAATAGATGGAGTTTGTTCAGCAGTTGCCAAAAACTATTAGTGGGAAGATCAGAAGAAAGGAACTGCGCCAGAAGGAGTGGAGAAAAGTTTAGAATTGCTGCTTTTTTTAATAACATCTCTTACAACGTAAGATATTGCCGATTTACACTGTAACGTAAAGTAAAAGACACTACGTTGTGGCCTTTTTAGTTCAGGTTTTCACAAATTCTTGTCCAAGTCTCAGCCTTTGGGTATCCAACATGCTAGAGTAATAGCCCATAGCAGCAAAACAGGCAGACTGATATAAATGAAATGGGAAACTAACACAGAAAAAAAGCACCACGTTAAATAAACTTAAGAAACCATCGTAGGCATTTTATCTTTATTGTTAACTTAATTTAAATACTAAAAACCAGGAAGAGTTTAAAAGAGCACAGTTGCTTCAAAAATCACTTTTCAGAAGTGCAACAACTAATAAATACATTTTTTAAAGTTACAGCCCAATACAAGTATGTTTACAAAAATGAGTATAAATAAAATCTATATCATCACAGTGATGTTTAAAGATTGGACTAGTAAAGAGTTTAGAATACATGATAAAGTAGAAATTTAAGATGTTTAACGCCAGCTGTTCATCCTTTAATTTTAGCACTTGCAGCTTGATCAGTTCTCTCACTTCATCCATGAGATAGTTTATGACATATGGGTACTCTGTATGCTTGAGCAATTTCCACTTGCATCTACTTTAACCAATTATGTCATTTTTGTCCCATTCTCAGAACATGTATCTAAGATCATTTGACTGTTCTGATTACAGTAAGCAGGAACAAATAATTGAGTTTAAGATGTGGACAAAAAAAATCATTAATTTTCAAGTTCTCATAGAGGGTCTAAGACGCAAATATTTCTTGTTAGAAGAATTTCCTGAAGTATTGGAAAAAGTTCCGAGAGAGGTCAAAGCATCGGCATTCACAGTGAGAACGTCAGAAGATTTCTCTTTTAGAAACGCATGTTCCCACTTGAAGTATCCACAGCCTTTATTACCTTCGTGCTTACCAACAGGACAACAAAAAAATGCTTTGCCATGATTTGGACCAGTATTTGATACAAAGAGTCTTTTAGCTCTTCGACCACAATTACACAGAGGGGGGGTTAGTTTTTCATTTTTCACAGCCTTTACAGACTGATTCAAATTGACCGTGGAGTTCAGAATGGCAGGAGACGCTCTGGACAAGTTTGAACTTCTTAAAGGTAAGGAATGATTAAAAGACACAGTCTTTTCTTTATATATAGCAAAAGACTGTTTTTTTGCTGGTGGGAACATTTTTGGACTCGTTGGCTTTCTTTTAGGAGCCTCAGGAGTGGAGTCATTTCCAATTAATGCTGAGTGTGATGAAGTACCATTTACCTTTGCAGATGGTAACTTAAAAGCAGAAAAATTTGAAGTTTGCCTTTGGACCGTTTCTACGTTATAGATTGTAGTATCAGGACTTTTGTAAACAATAGACTTCTGAGGTTCCACAGGCACCACAGTTTTCCCCAAATTGTGAAGATCTGAACTCATCACAGCTGATACTTTGGAAATTGTTGGTTTTTCAGACACTGTTGGAATATCTGTACTTGAGTCATCTTTAAATTGAACACAGTCTGGATTTTGTTCATACTGAGATTCTGGTATTAAAGCTACATCTTCCCAGTCAGTCAGCAGAGATAAACAATCAGAACTAGTACTAACATCCTCATCAGATATATTAACTGAGGAGATGGTAGTGGAGACAAGCACTAGTCCTGACCCACGTACTGGGGAGCTATAATTGGCAGTACTCATCAAATGCCCGTTGTTGAACCCTTTCCAAATGCCTGTACAGCAAGATAGCTGTGGCTGTCCAAGAGGAACAGAAAATCTGTCAGCAGATGCTGTTAAAGAGCTTTGGGCTTGATCATACAAGTCAGTCCTTGAGCTGCTGCTAGATACAACATGGATGTCTGTAGAGGAATTGATGGTACTTGTCTCCTGTTGTTCTTCCATTTGTACGTTGGAATTTATTGTAACTCTGGTAGTACTGTTGTGGTTTTCCTCAGCTGGAGAGCTTGTGTTGCAAGTTCCATCTCTAGATGTTTCAGGTCTGCTATTACTTCCCAGTGGAGTCTTGTCAGTGAAGGCTGTATTCAGTGTTCTGGAAATCAGATTCTCCTTTGGATGTGCCTAGGGACACCACAAACACATGGAGATTTTGGGAAGTGAGTGCCCAGAAGTAGAAATCAATGCACTAAATTAATAAGTGTATTAGCTTAACGGTGTTCTGTTCAATTCATAGTCAAGATGCTGGGCTGTTCATTTGAATAGCTCACCTTTCATCTGTATGCCAGGCTCCAAAGCAAGTAGAAGGGAAGATGCGAAAAAGTTACTAACCTTATCCAAAGATTTAGTAACCTTCAGTACACATCCATCACAAATCATCCTCCAAGCAAGACGGGCAGTATTCCGAGAATCATCCAACCCTTCGAAAGAATGGTTATATTAACGTCTTCCTTTTAAACTACTACTGGGGATAGTTGTTATTAGTGGAAAAGGGACATTCGGGCAAGACTTACATAAATAAAAGGGATTCACATAACTCTGACACACAGTTTTCTAGAGAACTGTTCAGAAAAGGACAGTGGTCATCTAACCACAGTTTAATATATGTTCATGATTACTAAAATCCTTGTTGTATCACTTACATCAAATTCATATTGTGCTAGTAGTCTCTTACACTGATAAGCTGTCTAGGGCTATCCAGCAAGATAAGTTTCCTTATTCTTCCCCCGCTGTTTTTACTTTTGCACCCTACTGATTTAACATTTGGTGGTGGTGTGCAACAGATACTCAAAAGTACTAGGCCACATTTCAGAAAAAAAGCATAAACTCGGAGATCACCAACTCTAACCTTTGAAGCATCTAGCCTTTCTTATTTTGATGTTTTTGTTGAACAGAGCATTATATAACTTGGAACAGTTACAGTAGCTACTTAGCTTTATAAAATTATATATATAAAGATGAGGCTGATCATACCATACTTACCAGAATGCTCCCGTCCTGCAAAAGCCATCCCCAAATCCTGCAAAGCACCTTTTAGCCCTTTAGGCTTCCTATTATAGAATGACTAAGAAAAAAAAGTGCCGGTGATTAACATACAGCATTTCAAAGCCTCTTCACAGTGAAGTAAAAACGATTTCAGAAATGCCACTTCATGAATAATAAATCTCACAAGGTCACTGTGCCAGTCAGGTATCTTTGTTTTACAGTTGGGGTAAGCAAGCATAAGAGCAAGTAACTTACCCCGTAACAAATTAGAAGGGAAAGAACCATGAATCCCCTTCTCTCAATCTTAAACTAATCCATTCCGTTTTAGCCCTGTAACCATTCATTTGAACTTTATGGCTTACACTGATCAAAGACTGAACTGAATGGCCTTGAAGAATACAACTATAAGTAATATCTTGGCAATATTATTTTATACTTTATTACAGCAACTGCTGTATATTGCAGAAGCGTAGGCATTAATACATTTGGCACAGATGTAAATTCCTTTTAAACAAGATGCAACATATTGCTACACAACCCAGGTATCTCGTTGGATCACGAGAGAGGGGAATATTCACCCTGTTTTATTTCAGAGACCCAGTTCTGCTGCCTAAGTTAGGAGCCTAAGCGCCAGGAGGCCAGTGGACAGGTAGACTCCCGGATCCTTTTGAAGTTCCCCTGACTATACAGGGGAGTCCAGGTGCTGTTAGCCCCTACATTAGAACTCTAAAGATCCAAATACCTCTCAAAACATGCATGGTGCAATGTTAAATGAGGACCAAATAATACACATAACTGTTTCAATATACATTCACATTCATGTAAAGTATATATTCATTTTTTACAGTATTACTCATGCTGTTCAGAATACACTTACTGGTAAAAGCCCAGTTCACATGCTAGAGCCATAACTATTCTCTAAAAAGGAAAGGATTTCTATCTTTTACACAGCAACACTGGGCAGTAACGAGAGCATGAAAAAAACAGGGAAGTTAAGGCAGCAAGCGGAGCAAAAAATTCCAGAGAAGGAAGAGCAGCTGGAAAAAATTCTCCTAGGATTGTCACTTATTGCAGTGTCATTTATCAAACACCACCACTTACAGAGTTGTTTTCCTAGAATTCTATTAAAATTCACATAGTTCTAGAGCAGGGACTTTGACACTTGAGCAACAGTAATATACATGGAAAGAAAACAAGTGGCTAACCAGTCACTGGAACATACAATCTGGGTTTCTAACTTTAGGTACAATTAGCCCTGAGGTGATAATATGGGTATAAACGTTTCACAGTATGATTTTTCCTCACTCTGTATGTTGCTTTGAGATCGATCCAGGAATTTAAAATGTCTGGTTTTCGCAGCTGCTTCCTTTTACACTCATAGTGCAAACACACACCCAGGTCCCAGTCTGCACAAAAGAACAAATACAAATAAACCTTTCTTTTTTAGTCCTAATGATTACCAAACAGGTATTTATTTTATCTGAAGAAAGTAGAGGTTACTAGAAACACTAAACAGTTCAGCAAGAGGTAACACAACCATTTACAAAACAACACTGCATGCAGAATATGAGACGTGTTTATCTGGGCTGGTAACCAGTGCCGTTACATCCATCACTAAAGAACTGGCCCAAACTTGGCTTAAAATCTCCATAAAGGGATAGAACATCCACACACCAGTAGCATCCTGTACTGCTGGACAGGAAATTCAAAATAACACATCCATATGAACTCTTTTGCCATGAAAAGCGCTAGGGTTGTTGTAATCGAACATCGAGACAAGTGAATGACTTCATGACAGGTGAAGATCTTAAAGACCTCGTTAAATCATTTAAGTCCGTAAGAATGGTGACACAATACACTATACGTACAGCAGAAAAATGCAGTAAAATATGGTATGTCGACCACAGAGACAAAGATGTAGTGAACACATCAGAACTTAATATTTTTCATATTTTAGTCTTATCCCACCACAATACCTCTCTTAATACCTAACAACAGGATTTTGGACATACAGGTGTCACAAAAATTGGAGAGTATCTCACTAGCACCACCAAATGTTTGTGTGTGTGTGTGTGTGTGTGTGTGTGTTACTCCACAGAAAAAGCAAAGGAAAATTTTATTTACCTGTCCAAGTAACAAAGGTACATAGTTTTGCTTCTGACGTAGAATGACTTGGAATATCTGAATTGAATAGAACTTTCTTCTCCTTTTGTATCTTTTGAATCCATTTCAAAAACTGTGATAAGCAAATATTTAGAGGGACCCCTTCATCCACTTGATTCTTAATGAAACAGAACAAGAAGCGTATATAAAGGTGTTAGTACATACTGAAATCAGTTTGAGGTTTACCTCTCAAAGAATGATACGTTTACTGTCCAGTCCCTGATAATGTTTTTCTGCACGTACTCTTGAAAACATTTCTGCTAACTTAAGATCCTAAAAGACTTTGAGTGAAATGTAAGGCCTCTTTAAAACACTACTGTAGGGCAAATATACCTGTGTTATGCCAGTCAGTTCTGTACAAAATTCAGAGAGAATAGGGTGCTCCTGAGGCTGGACATAGGTGTGAAATTCAGATTCAATCTCTCCCGTTGCTGTGTTTAGCAGAACTGCTGGAAATTCAACTACGACAAAACAAAGAAAGAAAAGGGGG